CTCCATTCTTATGCAAAGACAGTGGCCCATTGATTTTCTCCATGGTGCTCTTTCCTTTGCAGTTCACTCAAAGGAGTTGACAGGTTTCCAGCAATTTGTGCAGAAGAGAAACCCAAACCTTGAAAAAGAGGATGGCTTTATTAGGGATTTCTGGAAAGATGCATTTGAATGCTCATCCTCCAGTGAGATGATAGATGGGAATGCTGAAAAGATCTGCACTGGAGAAGAGAAAATGGAGACTCTTTCTCAATGTGTCTTTGAAATGAGCATGACTGGCCACAGCTACAGTATCTACAATGCGGTCTATGCTGTGGCACATGCTCTGAGGGCCATGCGCTCCTCCAAACTCAAAAAGGGTCGAATAATTGATGGGAGGAGATGGAAGCTCTTTCTTCAATCACCATGGCAGGTAATGCTGGCTAATGCAAAATTCAGAAAGGTCATGATGACGTGTACTTAGTACCAGAGTATACATCAGGGAGAGATTTCTTCATTAAAATAGCTGAAGGATTCTTAATCTTAAAATGTCACAGAGATAATATATTATCTACATATGATTTTGATTTTAATCAGGGAGTATTTGGCAGGATAAAATAAAATAACAACAACAACAACCACAACAAGCCCCACTATCCTTTTCTATTGCTGTTTAAAAGTTAATCAGTCCTGGATAGAACCTGAGAAGTGATTCTTGTGAAATGTATGGAAGGTCAAAATATATCATGGATGAGCACTTTGGAAGCATTTAAATTTATGAAGTGAAATTGATGTGTATATTTGTGACATTTGGCAATTTTCAGTGTAAAATCTTTATCTTTTACTCAATCACATTTTTCCCCCATGGCTACCTTGATTTTGAGGTGATTTTGTTTTGATTTTGTCCACATTTTATACAAGCAAACTCAGTTCACAATTCCTGGAATATTCTATTGATTAGAGTAAAGAGATCTCCTGGATTCCTCCCTTTCCAGATTTTGTGACAAAGCTCTCATCTCAGAGCATGCAAGCTGAAATGCATTGATTAGGTAATAGTATACAAAATGCATGTGATATAGTTCTTCTCCAATATTAAATAGTGTAGGTACAAAATTTGAGAGATTATTTTTCATTGAGCGAAAGCCAACCTGAAAGGCTGTCACGTAGTCTGTGTTGGACAGCCATGTAAATGTCTCAATAAATACAACCAGTAAGAATAAGAAAATGACAAATCAACATCTTTCAAGTAATCCTTTCCTTTTTCTTCATTCAGCTCCACCATTTTTTGCAGCAGGTCTCCTTTAACAACAGTGCTGGGG